CCAGTGCTGTGGACAGTTTGCTGACCATCCTGATGTCCTCCTTTGTTTCTAAAGTGATTATCAGCTCAGTGATTCTTCGAGCAAAAAAAAACATTGAAATATATGGAAAACAAGTTTCCTGTCAGATGGATGTTGTAGAGGATATCGTCATGATCATGATAGGAAATCATGATAAAAATCCGAATAACTTGAAATGTTGCTTGTTTTAATGACAAACGTTAAGTGTTCTGAACATTTCACACGATAGTTTTCGAATTGGCTCATCTACTTAACAGCGAAAACAAGTGCAAACTAGAAATATGCAGTTCTTCGGGGTCAGCTAAGGCTGTAGCATAGCTATGCTCGATATGTTCTGTTAGTATTAGTAGCTACGCTCAGTTGGGTTTGAACTCATTAAGTCCTGCTTGAGCTGGGAACATCCCCTTAAAATTACAACTTTCTAGCTTTTCTGGTTTCCGAGTTGGCCACTTACTCGCCAAAACTTTCACAGGCTCGCATGTGGGAACCACAGTGAAGCTTTTTCGTTTCCAAAGTTTTAGTTAAAAATTCAACTTTGTGAACGCAGTTGTAGCAATACGATCGTAATTTGATGTATCGGAAGTGAGAGGAACGCAACGAACACTTTGAAAGTCCTGCAAAATGTGCCTTGTCCTGCGGGAGAGTTTTTGAGCTGAATCTCGTGATGGTCACTTTTTTAAGAAGAAATTAACGTTAGGGTCACTAGCAGGTTTCTGGCCACCAGACGATACAGCTTTGGTCAGAACATCTGGAAGATTGGCAGTTATAGTCATCTGGAAGATTATTTGATGAACGAAACGGTGATACTGACGAGGTCCAGTCGCGGTGTTGAGCCAAGACGTATATGACTTAATGGACCGAAACGTCTTATCTCACTCTTACCTTCTTTCCTCGTGCTGTTTCTGCTTTCTGTATTCAATTGCGCCTTCGACACTTCGGTTTCCTGGGTCAGCCTGGATGCTACAGTCGGCTTAACAGCTGTTTTAATTATTACAATATAGGTTTTTAATGTTGTATTAATAGAATAATATGATAGCAAAAAAATCAGTCTTGAAATTTTTGACAAAATTTTTGAATTGCAGTTGTTGGAGCATGGAATCGTTGTTTTGAAGCCTCGAGAGACGTACATGCTTCACGTTGTTTTTGAACCCAAACTCTGTGCTTTTTTTCGAAATGTTCTGCAAATCAGTGTACTTAATGCTGAATGTATCAAATATTCGGTGAGGATTTTTCTCAGATTTATTGCCGTTGATTTGTGAAAACAACACCCTTTTAAACGGGCTTACTGTGGAGAATTTCTGCTGAAGAACGTTCAAAATCTACTGAATTGCAACTGTTTCTGCTTTGTAACTAGAACAGTTTATTCTACTCCAAAGCCTGATTATGCAGCTTTTTTTTTGGCTTTGGGCTACGTTGCATTCCCTTTCAGCCAGTTTGCCCTGAAGATACGGACATCCGTTCTTCCTTTTGATAGGGGTACTGGTCCAGTGATTCTTCCAAAAGGAATAGCTGACAAAGCTTTTTTAAGATTTTTTTTTCCCAAAATATTTTAGGATTCTTTTTTTTGAGATTTTTTGAGCATTGCTGTTTGCCACTTCCTGTGATTACGATGAAGTATCTTACCAAAACAAGAGTTATCATAATATAACCTCCTAGTAGCCTAATATAAATTAATATTATGCTCAAGTACAATGTTATTCAATGTATTTGAATTTTTTTTTTTTGCAATTTTTTTCGTATTTTTTCAATAAATTTTTAGGTTCCACTACATGGAAGCGGTGGAGTTGCAGCATTACGTATTTTGGCTCAGCCCGAGCTACAGATGCTGCGTGATGGATCATTTGTTCTGACCACACAAGGAGTTACAAATATCAGTTTTGATGTCGAAAACAAAGGATTA